AGAATAATTTTATTTTTTAAAAAAGTTTAGTTATTAGTATTTTAAATATCTTTAAGTTTATATAATTAAAGTAATTATTATAAGATAATTTGATTAATTTTTATTAATTTTATAAAAGAAATACTTATTAATTTATTCTGTTTTATAAATTAATAAAATTCATATTATTTTTTAAAATTAATAAGTTAATTATTAGTTTTATGAAAATTATTAATATATAAATAATTAATAAAAAATCTTGTTTTTATTTTAAAAATCTATTTATTAAAAATTTATTATATTATAAATATATTATTTACTTAAAGATCAAAAATAATTTCAAGTTATGATCACTTAGATTTATAGTTTTTTTATATCTTTTTTACTTAAAATAATAAGTTAATATTCTTTTTTTAAGAATTTTTGATATTATTAATTTTTTAATATTATATTAACTAATAAGTTTAATATAATTAAGATTTGAATTTCTTTTTTTTATTTTACAAATTTCACATTTTTGCCTAGTAAAAGACTAATTTATTTTCTTTTTATACAGACATTATTAATGTTAATAAAGATAATATAAAAAATATAATAAAAATAAAATTATAAATAAATAAAAAATTTATCTTATAAATTTAAAAATTAATATAATATTAAATAATATTAAATAATATATAAAATAATAAATAATCATAACAAATAATACAGTATCAGATAACACAATATAATGTTAGATATTATAAAAATATTATTTTATTTATTTGGCCAATTAAAATTTATTACACATGGTTTAATCACGTGATTGTTCGTTATATACATATAGTAATGGATCACTAAATGAGGTATACTATATTTGTTCGATATAATCAGCTCGGTTCTGAAAATTTGGTTCGTTATATTTAGATTTCGGTATTAACAGGTTCGCTATAACCAGAGTCGACTGTACAAACCATTTTCGTTGCGATATAGCACATATAGAGTTTGTTATAATTTTTAGACTTTTTGTTGGACATCAAATATACATGTAGTTGATCAACAAAACTTGCTCTACTAACAAATTTCGATAGAAAAGATTAAAATTGAAATGCATAATAATATTTCTTAAAATCTCAAGGTTCTAGAATCAAGCACACGATTATTTAATATATAATTCACGCTTGATATGAGAAAGGTATTGGATGCAACAAAAATTTTCTTATATCGATTTTGAAATACCTTTTCTTTATCAAGAATTTCTTATATCGAGAGTCACTATTAATACAAAACCATTCCAATTCAGCAATTATCACATTTATCTTTATATTTTACAATTTAACATTCGTTGCTCCTTTTTCAAAAACTCAGTTCGAAATTTAAATGTTCTTTGATTTAATTATAAGGTTTGGATATAAAGCAATCAAACTTGGAATTTGTTCGAAAGATTAAACTTTTTTTTAATACTTGTAAGACTTTGTGGGTGCTTTGGCATCCATTGTATACAAAGTTTTAATGCGTATCCCCGGTCCCGAACGGAGGAGCGAGTGACTTTTTGATTAAATTTTCCTGTAAAATAAAAATATTTGCATAGTAATCATATTTTGACTTGCGATTAAGAACTTTTGTGGTGACAAATTCTCGTTAAATGCACGATTTATGACTATCATACGCGTTGTAACCATTGATCATCTAAAAATATTACTTTAACGGAAACTAAACCCGCACCCACGATTCAGAAAAAGGCGCGTGAACACCTGTCAAAAATATCAGTTCATCAAAATCCCTTCCTCCTTTTTCAATAAACTATTGTTGCTTTTTTCAAATTTTCATATTTTATAATTAATACCTGGTGGTGTCCTCTCTATCCGGGGAATGGCAACAGTGCTAGACCTAAAAATGGGCGAACCAAGATTAAAAACAAGTTGGGTATGGGCTTATTTTGACGTGAAAACTTTGCCTGATGGGGAAACTGTGGCTTGCTGCAAGACTTGTGGGAAAACGTTTAAGCATGGTGGCAGCACGTCAAACTTAATAAATCACCTCGCGAAGACACATAAAGTGTTTCGTCCTGAGAATTATAATAATGGCAATGGAAACGGGAAACGTTCAAGCGGGGAACAACAACCACCAATACCACCGCCACAACAATCATATAGCAACCATAGTAATACGGCTAATTACGCGTTAGATCCATTATCTATAAATAATTTAACTCTACATCCGCTGGAATTTTTGTTTGGCACGTGGCGTGGACAAGGAAAAGGCAAATTCACGGGGATTAATGATTTTGTGTATGGTGAAGAAATTCAAATTAGCCCAGATGAAGCCGGTCGCGGTTGGCTGTACTATAGGTAATTGGAAATCTGATTAATGTCATATAGACTGGATTTTTGACAATTAGAGTACACTAATATTTTATATGAAAAACTCATTACAGACAAAGAACATGGAACCCTGCCCGAAATGACATGAATTTTCATAGTGAGTCTGGATATATTCGATGTCCCGGAATGGGGAGCAAAGTAGAATTGGTCTTGGCGCAGCCAACTGGTTTGTCAATCAATTTGAGACGCGTTCTTAATTTGGAAGCATTCGAGTTTTATATATTTGATTATGATTAATTCAGGAATAGCTTCAGTGGAAGAAGGACAAATTGAAGGAACCACCGTATCTTTAAGATCTACTAACATTGCTCGTTCCTCAACTGCAAAGGTAGGTTTGTTATTTTTTTTTTTGATATCGTCATTTAAGTTTCGAGAGTATCGATTTAATTAGCTATCATAAATTAATAGCCACCACACGTAACTGAATACACAAGGTAATTATTATGATAATATTCTAGTGATTTAATTATGGGTCTTATTGTTTTAATATTTTCATTTTGGCGCGCGTAGAGTTTTAAGTGTAAATACAGACACCAACCAATTAACATACACGTTCAGCATGTCCACCCAAGAGAAACCAATGGAAGATCATCTTTTCGCTACCTTAATAAAAGTTTCATAATATCCTGCACAGATTGAAGAAAAACAACCTCTTCCCCCAAGTTAAAACAATAAGGTCATATTTTAAGATACGAAAAATAATAAGCATATAAAATGTTAAGCAAAAATATTCATCTTTGAAGTACAACGGAAATTTTATAAGCATGTTCGGGTAGAATGACTATAAGATTTAAATGAATCTATAAATAAAATCTCATTTTATAAGGCTTTTTCATGCTTCCCCATTATACAATACGGATATAATAATTCTTTGAGCCTTTGGAATAATTTATTTTGATTTTACGCGAATCCCATATCTCGTGCTGCCTTGTAAACAAATCACAAACCTTGCGGTTTCCATATTATTAGTATTGGGTCTTGATTCCAATTTATCAATCTAATGCAGCTCGAAAAATATTAACTGAACGTATATTACAGTGGTGCTCAAGAGCAATAGATTACGAAGAAAATTCTAGTTCTTACAACATTGACAATATTGATCTAATGCCCATAGTTTCTATACTCATTTTAAAGACAACCCAATAAATATTGCCTTTTTTTCTTTCTTTATGAAATCTACTTATATACCAATTTTCAACTAAATCGGAGTATTGGTTATTGCTCTAATATTATTTTTTTTTACATACGTGATATTCGGAAGTTCATATCTCAATAGCCAATACTTCGATTGAGCTGAAATTGATATATACAGAAAACATTAATTAATAAGATTTTTCCGATATTATTGACCTTGGCAAAAAAAATTTTGAAAAATCCGCGTAGATCACTTGATTTCCTAAAATGGAAATATTTTATTAGGTTGTCATCTTTAAAATGAGTAGACTGTTGGAGGCGCTAGAATTTTTTTTCGTGACCCATTACTTTTGAGCGTCACTGTATGACAAAATTTTATTATAAACTCGTAGACTTGATCTAGATTCAATTGTTCATTACTTGCGGTTTATTGTAAACTGTGGTGAAAATCGGATTATGCTGAAAATTTTGGCCAGAATTTTGCAGATCTGTAGATCAATCTGACCAAATTATAATAAAATAGTGAAATTTGATGTTGTCTAATGTAATCAATCGCGCTGAAATAACGATAAAATGTATTTTTTAGTAAAAGAATTTGCACATCCGATAGGATGCGTCCAAATCGTTATTGTTATTGTGGACTAATCGGAAATTGAATACAATCTTTTTACTGTGAAATGGATAAAAAATATTGCAGATTTGTAATAAGAGCTAGATCCTAAGAATCAACTGGCTATTTATTGTTTTTGATCATTTGATGTAGATTCTTATTACGTAATGTTTGCTCGACGTGTCAATTTCTAAATAAATCTCCCGTCCATTGTTAATTAGATTTTAATTTAACTATCTCATATTAACAGGAACTTTTCAAGAGTAATTTGTGACGAATTCTATTGAAATCGCTCCTGTCACGAAACATCATATTATTACAGAAAACCCCGTGGAATCCTCAATTTTTACGTTAATACTTAGTTAAACGTGTGCCATCTGAATTCTGTTGAATCAACTACTTTGTAGCATTCTCTCACTGAACATGCAAGATAATCATCGACTGTTTTCTAATAGCTGGAAAACCCATTCGGTGATAATCTATTTCAGAGGATTCGTAGGGAAATTACGAACACAAGACAATTTATAGAGATCATGGCTGAGAGGATATGGAAATGAACTTTCCTTAGAATCTTTTATTTAGAATTGACAAATAAGATGAAGCATCATGAATTTGTTTGGCATCCTAGTTTACAAGAGCCTTGACGAAATTAATAAGGTCTCTATGAATTGAGATTCTTTGGTTGGCATGACTATCACTTATTATTCATCAAGATAGTAAGGACACAGATTAATTGGTGATAGATTCTTTTTTTTTTGATATTTTGATATTTCAATTTCGGAAAATGTTAAAATTCAAATCTTATTTTAAAGGATCGAGGGACTTCTAATTAACTTGATAATTCAGTATAATCGTAAAATAGATATCAAGTTCAAATATCAGTAAACTCGAGTATTACTTCCCTAGCGGTTCTTTCACACTCTTTTATCCTCCACTTGATCTTGTTCACAATTGTTGGTTTTTGATGGAATATCTCTAACAAATACATGAGCATGCGACACACCTTGTACACTCTGTAGATGTGGTAGATTAACAAAAAACAGCCATTCCTTATTCCGTGGAAACTTTGCACGTAGAAATCGATCAACTTCCTGCATTGATCCTGGAGTAAAGGCAAGCTTAGACCAGAGAATAAAATGCTTGATTGATGATTCTATGGCGTATGGGAAATCATTCTCAAGTAACGCGTAGTGAGTTGCTGGGATTTCGGCATAAAAGTATTGTGAGATTGGGCGTTTTTCATGTGCATCAGTATTGGCAGTTGACAATGAATTATTAACAGTAATAGAAAGGGATGCACTAGAAATTTGTGGGTTTTCAGGGAGATCAGGCCAATTTAAAATTTTTTTACGAACGTAATTTTCTATCGTGCCGTATTCTTCGATTTTTTCTTTTCTAAATCGTCGATATTCAGTTGTCACCTCCTTTTCCCGTATGAAAAGTTCCAGGCGGCTACAAAGAATGTTAAATGTTAAAAACAATTAAAGATCGAATTATCATTAAACAATCGAATAAGACTTTTACCCCTGTTCTAAAAAAAAATCATAATCGAGATTTCATGTCAGAAATTATAAAATTAATTAATGAATTTTGTGCCATAATATTTACCAATTATTTCACGAACTTGTTCCCAATTTAATAATGGAACTTTGTAATCTTCGTCTTTGTTAATAGGTGGAAAAGGAAAGGATGCTAGTAGGTCATTGGTCGTCTTTGACATTCTTTGGGCAATGGTATCTATCAAAGATCTAAAGAAGAGAATTATAAGAAGGTAAATATGCGAATCATTTATAAATATCTCGGCGGTACCCAGGGTTACTTAATAAAAATTAGTATATTTTTTTCGGATTTTCATTAGGCAGAAATTTGCTGCACAGACTATCCCTTTTAATTTGTACCCGGCACATGAGCACAAATGATCACATGCTCGGAAAATCTCGCCGCAACCCTGAGTCATCTGATCACGAACCAAAAAGACCATAAAAACATGAACAATTTTTATAATTGTGCAATGACAGAATCCTGATCTTTTGTTCGTTTTCTCTTAAGAGAAATGATACATTGGAAATGAAGAAAAAAACTTAGCCAATTATGACATATAATCCATAATTCTTTTCTCTTCAAGTTAAGACATATGGGATGCGTGATTTGAGTAATTGATTCTGTCAGAGGATATTTTGTTTTTGCGTGATTTTTTAGCAATGATGATTCAAAGTAAAAGGTTTGATTTTTCTCGTGTGATAATAATACACCGTTGTTAAAATGATATCAACTTTGTGACGTGCTCTTTTTTACCCTTCTTTTCTATGTCTGGCCGTGGCTCTCTTTGGGAGAAATGTTGCTTGGACGTTGGAAGAGAGGGCTGGAAATAGCACGCTGAGCTAAAAAAAAAAACGCAAAAACTTTTTGATTGCTGATTTTTTTACGTTTTATGTTTCTAATCTGGTTTAATACTTGGTCATTAATTGCCAGGTAAAGGAAACGAAAATCATTTTTATAATGCTCGGAGACCATAGAGTTTATTTCACTTGAATTTTATGCATTTTATTTACAGCAGGACAAAAATAAAATTTCTTTTCGACTATTTCATTGTCAATTCTCGCAAATTAATATACGTGTGTAATATAATAAATTGTAAGATCATAGTGACCCTTCTTTCATGTTTTAATAGTTTTAATATAAAAAATAGTCCTCTTCTTTCGAGATGATATAATAAAAAGTTTCTGGATAACCATTGATCACTCAAATAAAAAACATGCTACTAACAAACTCTTCGCAAATCAAACTAACTATACACTATGCGAATATACTCATCATCAAAAGTCCTTTCAACTATCATCGGTCTATTAATAATAATTACAATCATGATGTGGTAATCATTAATTTAATCAACTCAACTATCCCATATGTTTTCCTTCCATATATTTTTCTCGAGAGATCGCATAGACTGACTTAAATAATTGACGTTCCGACTCGCGCCCAAAGGATCATTTTCTTCCTCATTATCCGAATTTTCCACCCGCCGTTTTTCTGCCTCTCGTGATGATCCATTTATTGATATCGGTTTAGATTTTGTGATATTACTGCTATTCTTGTTGAGAATTTTAAAAGGGGACTGCTGCGACGGATTATTGTTTGATTTGAAGTGATTTGATCCTTTTATGCTATTTACACTATTCGACAGTGGTTTCTCATTTTGACGATGATTTCTTGTTATCGGTGTGGTGTAATCAGGTTGTTTATAATGATTTTGTGGTTGAAGGGGAACATTTGGCGGTAACCGAACACCAAGTACAAATGGATCCAATATAGGCAAAGCACTCGCTGAAGATTGTCCATGTGATGACGAAGATGTAGTAATCTGTTCGATAGCTTCCACATAACTTTCAAGATGTCGACCTGACTCATCTTTTACTTCTTTAACAAGGTCCACGCATCCCGGTCGGAAAGGTGGAACAACATCACTAAGCTGCCTTGGTTTCTTTGGCACATTATTCACGTTCATCGTGTTTTCATCGCTCATCTCATCATCATCTTCATTATCAAGAATCACCTCACGTACTTTAAGCCCATTATGCTTCTTTTTTGACAAAGTCTCCTTACGCTTTCCCTTTCGTGAGGACGTAGATGAAGACGATGACGGTGCAATAATAGTAGACGATGACGATGATGGTGGTACAATAGTAGATGAGGAAGACACAGGTTTCCCAGTGTTCCTCAAAATTCCATAATTTCCATCGATAACCGGAAAATTATAATCCCCATACCTTCCCAATTTTCTACTATGATCATACATGGCTTCAACCTCCACGTCAAGTTGGTCCGGAAAATCCAAATTGTAATCTTGATTTTCCGCATTATTAACATTACTAATGGTATTTCCTCCACTCAACAGAGCGGTTCTCTGATTCGGTTCCGTGACCCAATATTTGCTCGCACCGCCTGAGGCGTATCGAAGACCTGCCATGATTCGCGAAGTCCTACTAGCGCCGATATGTGCCATACCTTCGGCCGGCTCAAACGTTCGATAGTTGAATCGCGAGCCGCGCAGTGTTTCGAGGGTGTCCTCGATCACGTCTTTCATTCCGATGGCGTCTTTGAACGCATATTTCATTGGCATACGAGCGGATAGTACGTATGGGTTGTAGTAATCTTGGTAGGAGAATGCATACCTTTTTTTTTCGGTAATAATTTATGATCAATAGAAACATAGAGATGAATCAAAAAAACGAGTCTGTCTTTGTGTATTTTAATTACCAATGTGCTATTGCAGCAGCAACCATTTCCACACATATTAGAAAATCTTGAATAGCTACCGAAATGTATTCATCGCCTAAAAATAATATTTAAAGAATAAGTCAAAATATATATATAATATATTTTTTGGCAAAGCAATAAAAAAAGTATTTGCTTACCAGGTATTACGTTTAACCATGCCAACACAGAAATAGCGAATCCTTGCCAAAAAGAGAAAAAAATAACTGCTTTCACACACAAAAATTTCGGTACCGGTCTAATAAATTTAACAACAAAATCCATTCAAAAAAAAAGATTAGGAAACCACGCTCTATCTAAGATAAAAAAACGGACAGCACATTAAACTCACACTTACCGATACGGCCTCAAATCCTCCTTGGTGCACATATAAAACATTGCCAAACAATAGAGTGTCAACGTACAGCTAACATTGAAAATAAGTGACACCCAAAAGTATCCACTCTGCACCGCGATCAAACCATCGTGATACTTTTCAAACCACTTTAGTATCAGAGTGACGGCGGCGAGAATCGGTTTTATGTATACGTACTGGAGAATTCCACGTTTCAGGAACAGGAATGAGTACGGATCGCCAACGTCCATATCTTTTATGAAGATACTAACGGGCATCACGTGTCGCGTTGGCGGGCGACCGTGAAGTAGAATTAAAATTGATCGCTCACCACCCAGATAATTGATTAATAGGTTGAAGAAACAGTATATTACAAATGCCTAGTTGTTTTAGATTGATGATGTGGATATATCTTTATTTTAGTTTATGGAGTTTGATCAGTTTAAAATGAATTGAAATGTCAAAGTGATGTTACCTCATATATATCTCGAACTGCATCCAAATAGAAAGCAGCGTCGAGTGAGACTAGACTAGCCCAAGAAGTCAAAGCATAAATCGGTACCCTAATCAAAGTAAAAAATTTAAGGGAGTAACTTAATAACAAGAGAAAAAAATCAATTCCCGGGATAATTAAAAATTCCAAATATACACTTACATTCCTATAATACGTACAACAAATCGTTGTAGATGCTATCACCCACCGTAATTAATTAGATCGAACGGATAATATTATACTTTAAAATATTGGAATTGTTATTTGACGATTCATAAACCCACTCACCGGCTTCCTATAATTTTTCAAATGGGATAGTATCGAAACCATCGAAAGCACTGTAGCGGTCAATGCCAAAATTCCAGCGATGTGTACGGCACCCGGCCACAGCTGTGCCCCGCTTCCATCGTATGAGATAAACCGTGAATTTGGATCGTAGTATTCGTCAATATCATCTTTATTTATGTAGTAATCATCTTTTGTTATATTGTAGTAGTTGTTGTGATAAAGTGAGTTCAGAGTTGTTGACGCCACTACCATTATTACTATTGCTTACTTAGTAGTAGTATCAACAGTAGTAGCAATAAAAAATAGTAACGAATAGTTTGTTTTCAATCAAGGGTGGAACTAGTCAGTGATAACAATATAAGATGTTTGCTGTTTAGATTCCTTGAGGAGAGAGTAAATTTTTGCGATTTGAATGAAATGAGAAAGTATTCGTGATTTGAAAGAGAGAGAGTTAAGATTCACTGAAGAAACAACCACAATTTATCAATAGAAAATTTTTGAGTGTGTACAGAAACTCACATATACACAAATCGTAACTTTAAATAAAATAAATACTTTCACACGCACGCACGCACGCACACACGCAATAAAATCGACTGATTAAATAAGTAAATTTTTCTCACAATACACTATTTTTTATGAAAGAACATAAGAATAAAAATATTCGAAGTTTTTGATATGCTTCAAAGAAAGTGGATATGTAAGATAACAGAATCCTAAGCTGGTTTTCTTTCATACACACACGTAACATGTAATTGAGCATGTTGTATCATAAAAACTTCCATTGACTAGTTGACAAGATAATTCAATAAAATTACCCTTTTTATTATCTTATTGACGCTAGATCAAGACATTTTCCCTAAATTCTGACTCTTGATATCAGAATCGGGAGGAAAACCGGTTTTTACGTGTAGTTTAAAACTCCGGATTCTGCAAAAGTTTGAAAACTTTTAATTTATTTAGTATTACGTATCACCACGGGGTCAAACCACGAGACCATTCTTTAAAAATTTTTACAGGGGGAGTAACAAGAGTTTTTCTTTATGTTATCTTTTATGATGTATTAATGATTTCAAAGAACCGAAATAAAGAAAAAAATTACCTTTTTTCGAATGCTAATAAAGTTTACATTCTGTTTTCTGTTAAATTATATGCATCCCTCTTATTCACCGTCACAAAGAAAAAAAATCCAATCTTTGAAAGACGGGGGAAACAGAGGGAAAGATAAAAAAGTAAACGTTACTTACCACTAGCCTATGGTATTAATCCTTGAGAGCCACCTTACACAAAGGTGCTGGTATGGTTTATTACTATCATTGGAGTGGCACATTTTTATATTGTTTTACGGATGAGATATTATTTATTCTTTTTTTTTTTTTTTTTTTTGCTATTTCCCCAATCTTGTGAAAATAAAAATTTCTTCGTAATCTTTTATTGATTGATTGATTAACGCATACATATTTATTAATTTGTGCTACAAAAACTTGATAATTTTCTATTGAAAATTAACTGTCCACAAAAGCATCTTTCGTACATACCTGATTCAACTAACATATCTCGCATTTATCGTGCAAATGCTCACCACCGGTCCCACAACAACGATAATATCCAAAACCACACAGAGACAATTTTACAAAACAACATTTAAATCATGGCTCGCCTCTTCCCCATGTTTACTTCTCGATTTTCGTCCTTGGTCAATACATCTGCGTCGACGCATCACTCCATCAACTTGTATTCCGTATACAGAACTAGAACAGCATTGGTATGAGCTACCGCCGAAACAAATGCCATTCGCCGTATTAGAACCGACTGATGCGCAAGGAGTGACGAAGAAAATGTTGATTGATAATGGGTGGAATGTGCCTTGGATTTTTGTTATTCAAGAGGAAAAAGCGTTGATTAATAGTGACGTTAATGGTGGTGCTGCTGCTAATGAAAAAGATCGAGGTAAAGAAGATGAGGAAATATTTTGGAGTGTTGCTTATGAATTTGGTGTTCTCGAAGAAACAGATGTTGCAACAATTTCCAGTCTTAAATCTTTTTCTAGTCCGTTTATTAAACGATGGACATTATTCCAACCAAACCCATTTTTAAAAGAAAACATAAAAATGATAGAGCAAACACTTTTATCTGACCCTCCTTCTTCCTTTGTTACCCCTGCGTTTGATTCTTCCTGCTCTCCTTCGAATCCTATTCCATTGAGAACTTTACATTGCTTGGATGTTGGCTGTGGAAGTGGTCGAGACACTGTATGGCTTTGTTCTCGCAAAACGCTTGCACATCATTGGCACGTGACAGCGCTAGATAACTGGCCTTCTGCTCTTGCACGTACGAAAAAACTTGCAATTGGATTAGGCGTCATACAAAACATCGATATTGTGAATGCTAAAGTGATGCCCGATGGTACAATCAAGAAAATTAAAAATTCTAAACTAGGCGATGATACAAATAATCATGATGATAAAGAAAATAGTTATCAAAAATCTTACGACCTACTTTTAACTCTTCGTTTTCTATCCCGAGAATTCTTCCCCACAATCCCTTCGCTTATTAAGCCCGGCGGATTTTTGATGATCAGTACGTTTATTAATGACGGCATACATGAATACTCGCAACCAAAGAGTCCTGCGCATCGATTAAAACCAGGAGAATTGGCTACGGTTTTTTCAAGAGATTTTGAGATACTGGTGGATAGGATCGAAGTTATTTCAGATGGAAGACCGGTTAATTCGTTTTTAGCTAGGCGTAAAAAATCATAAGTTATGTGTGGTGCACAGGGCACTGACATATATTACTTAATACCTTGATAAGATATTTCAATCACGTGCATGATGATTAGAGATGAAATATTGAACTATTAATAAAATGCAAAACAATCCGACAAAGAAAAAAAGTGAAACCTATGCATAAACTCGAACTCAAACCCGATATTTTTCCGGAAATCAATATTGCGTGATTTGATTTTGTCCAATCAGTGAGATTTTCCATTGTCCAACCAAAACGTCGGGGAAAAATTTGGTGGAGTGCCGAAATCACGTGCTATATTTTACTACGATAAAATAGGTATTATCACGTGGTAATCTACCAATCCAATAGTAAAGAATTTAACAATCCGATTGCAAACGCAAAACAAGAATATTAGGATAACAATGTTCAGGGCAAAAATTTATAGTTCTATGTTTATTCTTTGGGACATAGATCGCACGATAGACTATTCCCTTATACTGGCAATAACATAAATTATTATTTTTGACATCGAAAATTACTTGGATATTTTTTTGTCCCTCCTAACTTCTATAACCATCAACCCGAAATCATTATCTTTTCTTCTCCCTTAATAAAACACTTCAACTCATCTATCACTTCAATTTAAAGATTACCAACTATCAATTTTCATCGTATCATTCTCGCTCATCATATTTAAATGCATCTTAAACGCGCGATCAAGCATATGCGGTTGATGCGCTGCTATCCTAGCCATGCATTTCTTTTCGGCTTGGTTCAAATAATCGTTCAAGATTGGCTGGTAGTCGGGATGCGCGCAATGTTTAATGATTGAACGTGCACGCTCGATTGGTGACAACCCTCGAACATCGGCTAGACCTTGTTCGGTGACAAAGACATCAAGGTCGTGTTCACTAATATTTTTGGAGAAAAAAGAGGATAGTGGATTAGAGAGAAAAATTTTGAGGGTGCAAAGGGCCAGAAATGAATAAATATTATTTTTACTTACGTATGATCTACGTGTGAGCACATTGGAACTATACATGATATTCCTATCGAACAGTAAAATGTTTTATAGTTATTATAGTTAACAAAAGTTCATGAGAATGATAATGATAACAAATAGTACCTGTGGGATCCTTCTTTGTCGGTCGCACTGAAGGTGTATGCATTATACTTAATTTCGCATTCCGTAAAAAGTCACCGGAACCACCAAGACCATTTAAAATTCTTGATCCATTTACATGTGTAGAATTTGCATGTCCGTATATATCGAACTTAACGAAATAAAGAAATGGAAAAAATATTTAATAAAAATTACATGGATGAACCTAATTAATGGTTGATTGATTTGAATTACGTAATTACCTCGATTGGAGTATTCATAGCAATTACGCCTAACCGTCGAATAATTTCTGGTGAATTACTAACGGTCTGGTTCCGTAACACCAATCGATCTTTCAACTCTTCCCACATTTCATAGAACCGTCGGAATCCGGTCGGCGAGAATGCGACACTAGTTGCCGATGCAAATTTTAGTTTGTGGTGTTCCCAGAAGTCGAGGAAAGTATCTATTTTTTAATGAAATATTGATTTAATTTTATTATGTAGAGCAAAAAAGAATAAGAAACAAATCGAGATATAAAGGAAGTGAAGAAATTGACATATTAACCTTGAATAACTTCAGTCCATACTTCTACATCCACAAACGGACCATCCGCCAGACCACCAATAATAGCGTTAGCGATATTTCCAACACCAGATTGTAATGGTAATAATTGTTTCGGCATACGACCCATTTTTATTTCGTGTTCAAAAAAGTCGAGGATGTGTCCAGCGATTGCCCTTGATGTTTCATCCTTTAGGGTGATAATAGTAACGTTCAGCATAAAGAATTTAAATAATTTTTAGTTGAAAAAGTTCATCGATTAAAAAAATTATCTCACTTTTGATTCACTTTCTGTCGTATTGTCATTATGCCTTGATTCAATGATAGCTACAACTTTGTCAGTGTCAAGTTGGATATATGGCTATTTAAAAAAAAATAATTAGGGCTTAATTCCAAAAAATTCAAAACTATGTTTAATAATCACATTCTATAAATATAATTACCACTCCAACACGGTCATCAACTCTCTGAATCAAATTCGGAAATTTGTATGGCGCAAACTTACTAAGAGTGATATCATGTAGACCCTCGAAATTTGGCAAAACCGTGTTCACTTCAATAATAATCTCACGTGCTGATTGCACAATTTCCGGTGTTGCGCCAACAGATGCACCAGGCACGATGTTGCCTTCTTCGGTAATTGCAGTGGCTTCGCATATTACTACGTCAAGATGTTCCATTGTGTCTCCCTGATTATTATTGTTGGTTAACGAATTAGTTTATTTATGAGGATCAGAAAAATGAATGATTAATTATTTACTTACTCTTTTCTCTAGTGTGTAGTATCCGGAAACCAAATCCTGAAGTTTATGAGTTTTTATGAATAAATCGTAAAAAAAAGATAATTAATTTTTTTCCAAATAGATGGTAATAAATCAAATTCATATTATTGTTAATCACACCAGTGGAAATTCCGAAAGATGTTTATCTGCAAACTTTATGTGATTCAAATTAATCTCTCGTTGAATGTCTTTTCCAACTTGATATGGATAACGGCGTGATATCATCCCATTCTAAAACAATAAAAAAGAAAATCAATAATTGATATTTAATTTAAGTAATTAATCAGATTTTTTTAAAACCATCAAATTGTAAAAAATAATTACTTACCCTTGCCCATCTATTGAAAATTTCAGATAGATAAAATAAAATAAAATAAAATAAACAAATAGATAAGTAAAAAAATTTCCGCGGAGACAAAAGGAGCTCATAAAAATTACCCGGCAATCAAAGCGTGTAGATCTGTACGACATTACACATTAAATACATATAACTTGCCTATTTTCTGTTTCCGAGCCAACACTAGCTCCGATAAATAGTTCAAATTTTAGTTGGCCTTGAAGATTATTTGTTTCGACATAATTCGCTAAAGCTACGGGTATTTCTTTTGGGTATCCAACACCTGTAAATCCTGACTATAAACAGATTTATTTATTAATCATTCATGTTTTACATATCGATATCGATATACATACTGTATATAGTTCAAACATACCCATCCCATTCGCATTCCATCTTTAAAATATCCACTTGAGATAAGATCCTCTGCGGTTATTAATTTTGAAAACAAACTGGGCCGGCGAATCCGATTTTTCAATGCATCTGAGAAAACTTTTCTGACTGTCGACATTTTGTTCGTTATTTTAAATCGATCAGTTGGATTAAAATAAAATATCTTTACAAAGACCAAGATGTAAAAGTTTTTTTTGTAATTAGTGATCTTTACCCATTGAATCTCAACAGTGTTCTTTTATAGATTTTATGAAACACACACACACGTCCTCATCATCATGCCATTTTTTTTTAAATGATAAATGTCATCATTAGCGCACGTTTCCCCGCTAGTCACATGCTCAAATAGGCATTTTATGTGATTATTGCAAAAAATTTATATTAATCAGGTAGAAAATTAATGTGACTAGCGTGATCGTGACAAATACAGATGTGACTATTGCGGGAGTTTACTGTATACACATGTTGAAATCGAACGACTTTTCATTTTGTACACATCTAAAATCGAATGATTTTTGGGAGAAATATAATCGTCATCAACATCACCTCAGCATATTTTTTTTTCGAGACAGTTATATAGCGATAGAAATTTAATTAATATTAGACTGATTTGAAGATAACGTCATATAGGAATCAACTTTCTTATATACGGTGACTTGCAAAAGAAAAACGAAAAATTTTACGAAAAAAAATCTGGTGCTTCTATACTTCTTTTTAATAACCTAGAGAAAAACTTAATAATGTTGCCATTCTAAAGGAATTAAATAGACTGCCTCGCGAATAATCATTGGGTCAGGGCTTAGAGAAAACTGCTTTCAAAAAATATTAGAAGTTGCTGGTTCAATACTATCCATTTTATTCAAAACTTTTCCACGAACAACCTCATAACTTTCCGTTTCTCAACTATTACATCAATCTCATAAAAAGTATTATTGATGGCGCAGTTGAGCGAGCACGTTGAAAAGTAATTCGGACTGATTTTTTAATTCAGAGATAAAAATAACTCATAATAATCCTATTTAATATTTTTCTCAGAATCGCCGAGATATGAAAAGAGTAAAGTTGTGCACCATTGATTGAAAGAAAGATTGCAAAGACTGAAGCCATCACTTTTACCAGAGTTGTTTACTTCATCCCTGCGGGTCAGAGTTCCACGAGGAGAAATCAACATGGAATCCAGATTACATAGACAGTCTAACACACGATAATCATCAAGCATTGCTATAGGGTGTGGTTGATGAGAGGATTTCTATAATGTTATAAACGATAATGAATTTTGACTATTAATCATCCTTACAAAGATCCACGTTATCAATCAGTTTCATGTATAGAGTTTATCCCCCTTAGAACCTTAAATCGCGTCTTCTCGATCAACACTAATAAATTGCAAGATCAAATTACATTAGAACGATAATTTTCCACGTGATCCCATATCATGTGGACAATTCTCTTCTAACTTGAATTTTTTCTTCCGACATATGGATAGGGCCATTTAAATCCTTTTTTTAGGAGAGAAATGAGAGAGATTCCCGAAAAAACTCTGAAACAAATAAACCTGCAACAAAACAAATATTGTTGCTAGACATAGCGGAAGTTATTAGTTTTTTTATCATCAGCTTTGCTATTTGATAGATGATCTCATGAATCTTTAATATATGATTTAGCTAATTAGTAGCGTCGGGAATTTTTTTGAATTACTTGCAAATTATAAAATCACTTTAACCTTTATGCATTGTCTTTCATCATGAGGCATTGGGGTGCGTCATATAATAATTAATCAAAACTATGTCAGGTATCATAGTAAAAAATTAATAGTACGACAAAATCGTTGAGTGTTTCGAAAAATTGTTCATTCGAATTAATGTCCTGTAACGAAAGGGAAATACGGTGTAAAAGATTTAGTTAGATGTTTTTAAATGTTATGTTAGGAAGAGCTTTGCTTTTGTTAACGATACATACTTCTAAGCTAAAAGTAAAATCGGCTTTTGTTAGAAAAAATTTAAAACCGTCACTTCAAAGAAAAAGTTTTATCTTATTTCATAATAAATTTTATCGTGAATTATTATACTAGTTTTAACTCAACAGTCTAAAATGCGTCTTTCGGTAACAAAAATAGACGAAATGCAAGTAACTGGTGAACAATTAAAAAATATTCGAAAAAAAAGGAGATTAACATACCAACAAGATTCTATTTCGCAAGTTTCTCAACCAGATATACAGCAAGAACAAGCCGCAGTTAATCTTTTTAAGGAAATTTTTTTATGTCGTTAAATTTTAATATCAAGCGGGTTAGCATTTGGATTTGATGAATTACCCCATTGTACTTTATTTAACGCGCATATAAAATCTGAATCAGAATTTTCCTGTCCGCACGATCCTAACGACGGATTATAGTAAGTTGTTTTTCCGCCGAATCCTCGTTTTTCAAATGTAGCATAATTTATTGATAATAAATTTGTACTGGAAAACAGTATTGTTATTACAAGTAGGATTATTGATTTTTTCTTTAAATTAACCATTTTCTTGGTATGTACATGCATAGATGTATATTAATGATACATAGAATATTTAGACACTTGAGCCAAAAGAAAATTTATTATTAATTACGTTAGCGTTATTTTTTTATACAAGTTATTATTATTATTATTATTATTATTATTACTATCGCTATAAAAATTAGCGATTTGACTTTTTTATAGAGATCAATAATTTAAGCAAATGCAGTTTAATTAAAGCAATTGCTATTTTCTGACATGCGTCCATAGGCAAGCGGACTGGAAAAACAAAAGATTCAACCACGTCACTAAAATAATTTATTTACATGTGCTAAAATACGCCACGAGAATAGATCGTTAATGTTAAAATCTGTTGCCACTAAAATTAGTGAAAAGTCAAACTTTCTGTGTAAGCATTTGTTTTGTTATTCACATACGTGCTTAGCGCATGGCATTCTAATTTATTCTATTCTGGTTTTCTTATATGACAAAATTCCATTCTCTCTTTTTTTTGGGTGTTTTTACTTGTTAGGGTGATCAAGTTATTTGCATTCTCTTATTGCACAAGAAAGTTAAGCAATTTTAATTCTAGTTCTTTAAGCGTAAAAATATTAATAATTTTTCATCGTGAATTTGTTATATATACTCTATTAACACGTTCCACAATGTGGGCTCATGTTGAGAGAAATACGACCACAACAACTGCCCAATGCCTATGTTGAAACTTGTGTATTTTCGTTAATTTCGTGAAACAGAGTATTCATGTATCACGTAAATTAAATTCTCAAACCGTAATATAAAACTAAATTTATTGTAAACTAGCAAGTCATCAATAACAGGAAACATATTTTTCGGAATAAGATGATTCAACACTTATAATTAGTCCAAGTCTATTACTATTTACCATATCCAAAGATAAATTCGATTGTCCAGCGTTTCTACTGGCGCACCAGGCCCTTTTGAAGGACCGGAAAATTAACAAATCTGGCTTAATCTCAGCGGATCGTAGCACTAAGGCTACTCTACCGCTTACAATATTTATCCGCTTCTACCTTCTTCTCGAGTTCTATGCCATTTTAATAACGAAATCGAGAATATATTATATTCGAATTTCTCGTTTTCAAGTATCAAATAAAAATATCTCGACGTCCAAAATCCCGAACTACCAAAAACCCGAATGCCCAGAGATTTCCAAACCTAAATACATTCGTTAATCAAATTTTCATATCACACAATTTGTAAATAAGCAGTTCTACTTTATTACTCATTACACTGTTACCCCCACCAACCAGTCAGATTCAAACACACAGCTTAACACGTTTTCACTAAAATTTAAAATACTTTTCATATTTTTTTTTATTTTTTTATTAAAACAACTTTAAATATTACAAATAGTATTACTATACAATTACAGTGTTCTAGCTAGATTTTTATATAACCCTCCTATGGTGATTGCATAATGTTTTATTTAATCTATCTAATGCAAGTCAAATTTAAAAATTTTATGTGTATAAAAAAATGCACAATAGATTCTAGTGCAATAAATGTTTGTTTTTAAGCATTTAATGCTTGTTTTTAAATAATGTCCATTAACTTAAGAATGTTCAAAATGTCCTTTGATTTTGTTAACATGCATATTTGCATGGCTTGTATGATGAATGCGATCTGTTTGATTTTGTTGACTTGCATGTTTGCATGGCTTGTATGATGAATGCGATCTGTTTGATTTTGTTGACTTGCATGTTTGCATGGTGTGTACGATATATGTGATTTTTTGATTTTGTTGCCTTGATGTTTGCATGGTATGTATGATGTGTGTGATTTTTTGATTTGGTTGACTTGCATGTTTGCATTGTATGTATGATGTATGTGATCCTTTGAGTTTGTTGATTTGCAATCACCATAGCATCTCATCCATTCCGATTCTCTAACCATCCTTCTCCCACCTAACCGTCTTTCCACTCCTTTCCGTCCAATCCTCCAATCATCCTTCTCCCCACCTAACCGTCTGGTTAGAAACACCCAAGCCCTACCAAGTGACAATTTCTTGTC